GGTGCATTGCGGGAGGAGGCGGTGCATTGCGGGAGGAGGCGGTGCATTGCGGGAGGAGGCAGGTGTCGCAGGAGGCAGCCGACACTAATAACTGTCAGGCCTGGGAACCCAGCATGCGAACAGGCCACAGGAGAAAGTTGTGTTCTCTGTGGTTCTGGTCCTGACCTTGTGAGGGGTCCCGACAGTACACCCGTGACAGCCCTGTTAATACCCTTTTCCATATCTGAGTGACCTCATTTTCTGGGTGGAGGTCAGAATAACACCATTCCTCTTGCTCTGAGGGTGATCTGCTGCCCTGACCATCTGAGGGGACCGCGGCAGCCACCCTTGTGCCWCCTCGCATGTCTCTGGACGGAGTCATTTGAAATCTTAATTTAACTCTCAGGATACACTATTTTTCTTCSGAAGCTAGATGGTAATCTTCCAGAAGAGACTCACTTCCTTTTAATTTTGGCCGTAGCCGGCTTATTCCATGATGATGTTATCTCCATCTTCTCCCTCCTCCCATCCCACCGCCACCAGCCCAGGGAGCTTGCCACAGTACCTGCACCCACACTTTCCAGARGGAACGTCAAAAATGGAGTACTTAAGTTTTAGTAGGGAAAAAAAAGATAGAAAAAGAAAGTAGAATTTCTCAAAAAATCAAACCCAGCATCTTAGTGAGCGCTCCTTTCACAATGCCCAATAAATTGTGTTGAACACAGCTGCCTGGTCTTCCAAGCCCCCCTTACGGACAAGAAACTCCAAATCCTGGTGGCTGGACCAAGTTTTAGTGAGACGTGAGCTGCCACCAGAGGTCAGATCTTAGTTAACAATAAAGCAAATAAAATGGTGTTGGGAAGGTTGGACGGACAGACATGAGTGCCCCCAACATTTGGGAACAATGGAAACAGGGAAGCAAGCAAGTAAATATGCAGATTAATTCTGTTGGTGTGAAGGAGATGCTCACTGGCCTGAAATGCTGCAGGGAGGTCTTCTCCATCCTCTGGTCTTTCACTGCTTTTAAAAACTACCCCTTGAGGGTGATCTCTTCATGGTAAATACAGCACCTCTTCTGGTTATGTTAATTAAGCATGAGTAACCTCTCTAAAACGGGTCCCTGGCTAAGGGCATGGGAAGGGAAAGAGGGTTTGCTGCCCTACGATTCTCTCCAGCCCTGCCGTTCCTGACCGTCTTCCTCTCCCCAGGTATGATGCTGCCGTCTTTGACCTCGGCTGTCTATTTCTTTGTATTTCTGGGTCTGTGCACCTGGTGGTCCTGGTGCCGGACGTTCGACCCATTGCTGTTCAGCTGCCTCTGTGTCCTGCTGGCGATTTTCACTGCTGGGCACCTGATTGGACTTTATTTATATCAGTTCCAGTTCTTTCAAGAAGCCGTTCCACCCAATGACTACTATGCAAGGTGAGAGGCACTGCTGGGAACCTATGGGAGAGAGCACCCTGTCCACCCTGTGATGGTGGTTGGGCTCTGTGRATTTCTAAGGGTTCTTCTGAATGAGGCCGACTGGTGTGTCAAGCAGAGATTTGATGGGGTGTAGAAACAGTCAGGCGCTTTAATTTTATTGGACAATACAGTGCTCGGATGKCAGGTGCTCACACAATGACTCAGGGTGACATTGCTGCTTGCTTGCTAATTGCAAAGGAAAAAATCACAATTGATGAACACAGTCAGCACTTTGGCTGCCAGTTGATAAAGACCAACATTACTAAAGACRAGAGAGCCATGGCTCTCCCATCTCCAGGGTGGCGCAGAACGTGGGTCCCCAGCACCCGCGGCCCCAGCCTTCAGACCACACTCGACAGCACAGGCATGCAAAGGAGGGAAAATGGTTCCAGTGGCTCCCCCAGAAAAACCAGTCAGAGAACCCAGCCTGGGAGTGCCCCAGGGGAGTGGCTCAGTGTCTTCAAAAGTCAGCCTCGGCACAGAAAGGTGTGTGGAGAGAGCAGGAAGAGAGGAGTGGAGAGAAAGACCCCCAGTAGACAGGAGGGATGCTCATCTCTCAGATCCTAGGACATCAAGCCTCAAGGCTTTGTGGGCTGGGGGTGGACCTTGGGTGGGTGTTAGAGGACAGCTGGGAGTTACTGCCCACGTTTCAGGTGTGTGATGGCAGTGATGGTATTATGGACACAGAGTGCATGCCATTGCTGTGGGAGCTGGTGGGGACTTAGGGATGGAGGGTCCTGATGCTGTATCTGAACAGTGCTGCTAACAGGCATCAATCAAATCCTAAAATCACTTAAACTCAGTTAAAATTAAAGTTAGTGCCCAGTACACAGGCACAGCTAACTCTAAATCCAGGTCGCACAATCGATTATGTCACAGTCCCCCAGGTAATAGGAACAGGCCACAGAGGGCCCTTGCAGAGTCTCTTCATGAGGCAGGTATGTGATATTTATTTTTGGCAGGCAGGGATAAATACATGTCTGATTTCGGTACAGAATTTAGTTCTGTACTAATGGATCCTTGAGCTTCTTTAGTTTCTGGTTTATTGTATACATGTAGAAAAACAGTTCTGCACTGTTGAAAGGGCTGACTTTGGGGATGACTTAACTGGGAGCCTAAGTATCCTCTGGAAAGCAGCCAGTTTGGGTTTAATTCTTCCTGCTAGTTAAGGAGCTCTTCTTCCACCTAGTGGCTGAGAACAGGAACTACGACCACCTTGTAAAAGCTCTAGTAGGTCTGGCAAACTTCTGCTGGAAAGGGTGAGTTTGTGTTTTAGGTTTTCAGGAGGTGGTCATAGTAGGAAAGCAGCCCAGACAAGATGTAACAGAGATGGGTGTCGGCACATGCCTGCTATCCCAGCTACCAGGACACTGTAGCAGGAGGATCACAAGTTCAAGGCCAGCTTCAGCAACTTAGCAAGGCTCTAAGCAACCTGATGAGACTTGTCTCAAAATAAAAAAATAAAAAGGGTCAGGGACATAGTTCAGTGGTAGAGTGTCTATGGTTTAAACCAAGAAAGAAAGAAAGAGAGGGAGGGAGGGAGGGAGGGAGACACTCCATGTCTGAATCCTCYGGAGTGTCTAGTGAGTGCTATTCCCTGGATCTTGTCCTCCTAGAGAGCAGTTGGAGGTGTGGGGCTGGTACCTCTCAGGGGAGTAGCTGGAGACCCTGCCCTGGTTTTCCTTTCATCCAAAAAACATTTCCATTGTTTGTTCCTTTGGTTTTAATTAGCTACTGTGAATAGCACCAAATGAAGGAGGGGAGGGGAGGGGAGGGGAGGGGAGAAGGAAAAGGAAGGAAAGACAGACAAGAGGTTTAAAAGAACAAGCAGGTGCCAGACATGGTGCTGCTGGGTGCTCAGGAGGCTGAGGCACACAGATGGCAAGTTCAAAGCCAGCCTCAGCAACTCAGCCAGGCACTAATCAACTCAGTGAGACCCTGTCTCTAAATAAAATATAAAATAGGGCTGGGGATGTTTCTCAGTGGTCATGTGCCCTGAGTTCAATCCCCAGTGCCAAAAAAAAAAAAAAAAAAAAAAGAAAGAAAGAAACAACTAGCAGGTCCGTGTTCCAGTAAAACTTTGCTTATAAGCACTGAAATTTGAATGTCACGTTCTTTGCACATTTCATGAAATGAAACTTTTCTTTAGATTTTTCCAGCCATTTTTAGCTTTATAACCTTTACCAAAACCGGCAGGGGCCAGGCTTGGGCCAGAACCGCAGATTGCCATGCTGTGGGTGGATAACAACAACTCTTATAGTGTAATAATWGGCCACATTTGTTTTTCACTTGAATTGTCACAAACTCCAGGTTGTGATTTACTGAATATAGTTTTAGATGATCCCTTTAACAATTTAAGAGATTAATTACTATCACCTCTAGAGTAAGTCCTTAGACATTAGATTGCTTACCAGGATATGGAAACTTTGAGCTACATGATGCAGTATRTAATCTGCCTTGGTTTAGATACCTCACCATCCCATTGACCTGGATGTTGCATTTGATTCTTTTAAATCTTGGGAATTAGCATCTTTAAAACCATAGATTTTTACTAGGGCATTAGCCCCCATGTCTGAGTTGGAAGAAGACAAGCTGAAGACTAGGAGAAACAAATAGATACAAGTCATCTTCCTGGGAACTGGTCACAGCCTTGTAACCAGAGAGGTGCAGTACGCACACCCAGCTCCTGGACACAGCCGCCTTTAGAACAGGGGGAGGTTCTGTGACCTTCTCAAGAGTTGTCAGATGGGCACTCTGGGGAGAACTAGTCTTATTTTTAGAAACATTGAATTGGTTTGGTTGTGCCATTACTGTGATGCATGTTTGTTGATTGTTTGAAAAAATAAAGAATACAGGAAACACTTMAAAAAAAATTGATTCTAACTCCCAGAAATGACCTTGACTTTTTAGTTCCTGTTCTTCCAGTATTTTTCCTCAGCATATATGTTTGTTTTTAAAACAAACCTGGAGGCCTGCTGTGCATGCTGCCCTGAATGTAGCCTGTCCCTCTCCCTGAATCTGTGTGTCTTCTGGCCGTGATGCTGCCTTCTAGCACATGCTCCTCATGAGTGCAGCTTTGCCCTCATCAGGCCCCGARTTTCGATTCACTTTTGCTCTAGTGCATGACGTGGTGATGAGCCCCACGTAATTTTAAATCTAAACAGCCCTTGGGACGAGTAGGCTGGAGCCATGCTGTGCTCTCTGGGCTGTGAGGGAGTCTGTGTGGGRTGTGCCTTGCTGGGGTCTGCGGGGGCCTGAGGTTGCCATGGTCCTGGGCCAACAGCACATTAATGCACCAGGGGTCCGCAGTGCCCTCACCATGTGATGCTGCATTGAGTCCCGCGCCTGTGCTTGGCACAGATCTGGGGTCCCATTCTCTGTAGGTAATCCTGTCTTTTCACCAAGTGACCCCCAGAAGACTATCTGCTTCCCTCCAGATGCATTCGCCATCACTTTTTTCCATGAGAGGACATAGAGAAGATGAGCAGGGCACACATGGGCTTCAAGTTYACCTGGAACTTGATGGGGTGTTGGGTTTTTGAAGGGGGGATTTAGTGATGGCCTTCCGTTGCTGCACTCAGGACAGTGAGACTGCATTTAAAAAAAACAGTGATTTGACATTATGAATGTCCCCACGGACAGGCTCACACACTGTGCCTGAAAGTAGGGTTGTTCTTCCCAAATCTGAAGTGCTGTAGTCTTACACCCACAAAAACGTTAGTGATCACACTTTGGAGATTCACCCGGCAAAATAAAGCTTTAACATGAATCTATGTAACTAAATATGAGACCCACTAACAAGAGCCTGTTTAATAGAATAGAGCCCTGTTAAGACTGTTATGCTGGCAGCGTCCCTGAGAAAAGGGACAAGCTGAACAAAGTTCGCCTTAGTTCATGCAGAGCCAGTCCATGCAAAGGGCGTGCATCTTATAGAAATCTCTGCAGAAAGTAAGCACTTCACACTTTGAAAGGAGTGCAGAAGTACAATTCCACCTGTGGGGCAGAGGCTCACAGGYCTTGGTCACCCGTGGGCCTGGGGATGCTCCCCCACTGCACCTGTAAGGAGATCAGACCTGTGAGTCCGGGAGTACTGCACAGCTTCTCTAMTGTGGGCCTTTCATTCAAAGTGCAGCCAGTGCACTTGGTAGGGGACAGGGACAGAGGTGGGAAACTGGCCTGGGCCATGTGGTCAAGAATGCTGTCTCTTGCAATAAACTGCATGAAGTCTTTACACACTGGARACTTTTATTAAAAGTCAGTTACAAGTCTGGCATTCGGTCTTTGGCTGTGTTTCCTTGTGAGACAGACACCTAAGATAGTTCTGAGGGGAACTTGCCTAAGAACAATCTTGCTTTTTCCTGAGATAGGTCAGGCTCTGAAGTAGGTGTCTGTGGTGGGCCCAGCAGGAGGACAGAACAGATACCTGGCATCTTGTTCCTGTCACCAGTGTGGATCCTGGTCCCCGTTGTCTGGTGTCTCCATCCCACTTCATTTTGCCCATGTGGAACCCTGAGACAGGCAGTGACAACAGTAACTTAGGTCCTCTCTGCTGCTCCTCAACTGGCTTTCTTTCCAACCACTGTACCTTCTCTAGATTTCCAAGCACTGAACCTTTTCTCAAATTCAGTTGTTTGGTTTGCTGCCTCTTTTTTTTTTTTAATACATGACAATAGTGGAATGCATTATGCTCATTATTCCCCACATACAGCACAATTTTTTGTAACTCAATKTGGCGTGATCATGCTGCCTTATTTTATAAACCTAAATTGTGAAACTGGAAAAGGAAAGGTGGGAAAGGAATGGGAATCAGCCTATGTTCGTTCTCATGAAAACGGCACTCTGCTAAAGGAGTATCCACCCATTTGTGCTGTGACCCTTTTTTATATGCCGTTTCCCTATATCATAATGATTAGAAAGTGAATCGTGTTTAATGCAGGAAAAGCTCATGTGGACATGTG